TGGCCCAGAGACCCATTCTCCAGATGCAGCTGGGCATCTGTTAGCCCTTTCTCTGGCGGGGGATTGTCCCACCTCCTTCTCTGTTTTGGTGGGTCCTGGATGACATCTTTCATGCCCCTTCTAGTCTGCCTGTCATCATTGGCAACAGGCTACTGCCCATTCAGCCCCATTGCCTTCACCTCGTGTCTCCCATTCTCCGTCTGATCATCCACAATCTTTATTCTTAGGGTTTGAAGATCTGTAACTTGTAAATTTGGAAAGTGACATCAACTGGAGAATGATGGATTTTTGCATCAGGGAGGAACTTGGGATCACTGAAAGTGCTATCTGGCTCACGCTTCACCTCTAGGTCATGTCTCTATCATGTCTGTCCCAGATACACGTCCCAATGGGTGACCACAGTGAGCTGCTTCACATCAAAGCCTTGGAAAGGGGCTTTGTGAACCTTGAAAACCTCCTCAAATCTCGTCCCACCTTGACCACCTTCCCTTAGCCAGCATCCTAGATCTCATTTCCCATTTCCTAAAAACTTCTCCGAAGGGTTGTCTGCACCTACTTCCTCCACAGCCTCATCACCCATTCACTCCTCGACTCGCTAAAGTCTGCCTTTGAGCTCAGCCATTCTACTGGAATTGCTCTTTCAAAGGTCACCGGTGGTCTCCTGACTGCTGAGCAGGCCCCAACCACTCCCTCTCTTTCTTCTTTGTATCTGACCATCTTCCTCATTGCATATCTAGGTTGGGGGTGTCTTCCAGAGCTCTGTCCTTGGGCCTCTTCTGCCTCTACAAGTCTCTCCTTCGGTGACCTCATCAGTTCTTCTGGATTGGTTCCATGATCTTGTCTCTGAGGATGTCTCCCAGCTCTTTCCAGCCCCACCCTCCAGATCTTCATCATCATCATCATCCCACACCCCAACTGCATCTCCAATTCGAGATGACCAAAACTGACCTCATCATCTCTGCCCTTAAACCTGCCCTTCCTCCCAGCTTCTAGCATCACCCAAGCTAGAAATCTCCAAGTTAAAAACTTTTTAAATTTGTAGTTAAAAATGCTTCCTTCTACCTCCCCTCCTGCTCCCCACCCAAAAAGCTGCCAAGCTCTTTCAGGCCCATCTCTGTCATCTCTTGCATCCATCCCTTTCTCCCTCCACTCCTACAGTCCCTCTTTTAGCCTCACCATCCACAGGGAACCCCCTCTTCCCCTCAGACTCTACACAGAGCAGCCTCCATTGCAGAAATGGACAACATCCTTGGCGAGCACGTGTCTCCCCGTTTGTCTGATGCTGGTCATCAGAGAATGGCTGGGCATGGTTAATTCTCAAGATTATTACAGATCCTGACCACGCACCGAAGATGCCTTGTTGGAGAAGACCCAACTTTCCCAAGTCAAAATCGATAAACACCACTGAATCTTGTCTCCCCTGAACCTTTCAGTCAATTGTGTGGCTACAATGATGTCACTTGTGGCAGAAAACTGGCTGTAATAGCCTGCCTGTTCTCTCCTGTTTTCATCAAGGATGCCTTCCATACCTGTGTAGACCATTCTCATAATGATTTTGTAAAGGTGGAAAAGTAGGCCTATGGGGTGAGTTTGCCTATACGTTATTGGTCATTTTTTTTATGGGGGATGTCATAAGATTGAAGATTTGAAGGAATTTTAGAGAACATCTAGTCCAATCTCCTCATTACAGCTGGGAAAACTGAGGCCCATAAAGGTTAAAGAACTTGTCCAAAGACACACAAGCAGTAAGTATTGGAAGTGTCATATGAACTCATGTCCTCTGATTTCAAATAATGATTGTTTCATCTTTTATATTTTTATCCGTGGTGCCTAGTATAGTGCCTAGCACACAGTAGGTGCTTAATAAATGCTCATTGTTTGATTTCTATTCTACCATATTGCATCCCTGATAAAGTAACTATCTGTAATTTTTCTCTTTCAGCATCTTCTCAGAAAATTAATTCCTTGTAATTAATTATTTAGGAATGAATTAATTCCTTTTAAGTATTTTTAATATCACATCACTTCCAGCATGGATTTTTTTTTGGCAGGGGGAGAAGGGTGGATGGATTTGGTCGGGTCTGGCCCTTCTTCTCAATTTAAACTTAAGTCTATTCCCACTTCCTCTACAATGCATGGATAAACAGAACAGGGTCTCCAAATTTAGCAGGTCCACTTTCACAGATGATAACAGATGATTATAGATCATTTCCTATTTTTCTGCCAGTTTTAGCCCTGCCTGCTCTCTGGGGGCCCCTTAGCTTGGTCAGATCACACACACTAATCTTCTCCTCCACAGATTTTCACCGTGTTGTGAGGCGACACTATTCATAATCTTTTGTCAGCAACCAACAAACGTCTATTAAGTGCCCACTAGAGTCAAATGCTGTTTGAGGTGCTGGAGAAACAAAGAAAAAAAACTGAACAGTCCTTGCCCTCAAAGAGCTTACATTCTATTAGAAGAAGCCTTCAGTCCTTCCCCAATTTTTACAGATAAGTTTGTATTTTAGGCATTCCCCTTGGCTGCCATGTGTCTAACTGGCAAGGAGAGCCTACGTGGCTGGCTAAGGCTTTCTGGGGGTTCTTTTGAACTCCTCATGGTGGTGACTGCTTGATATCAGTTAACCATCTCTAAGATGCCGATGGACAGAGACCTTGTCTTTACTTCGATCCCTTTCCCATTTTTCAGCCAGTAGCTTATTCAAAGAGGACAAGGTGGGAGTTGTTGACGGAGTGTTGCCTTCTTTCTCATTCAGCGCTGACTTTTACCATTGCTCGAACCAGCTGATGGTCAACAACACTGCTGACTCCACACAGACCCCCAATGAAGAAACAACTCCCCTGAGCACTGCTGTGCACTACAAGCTTCTCTGTAAGCTACGGAGAAGAGCCAATGGTTTCCTCTAAAAGAATGTAAACTCTGTGAGGGCAGGACTGTTACATTTTTCCCAGGTCAGATGTTCAGCATCTTCTGACTTTCTTCTTGAAGATGGTATTCATGACGCAGGCAGCTAGGTGTATATAGAGTGTGTATAGTATACAGTATATAGAGTGCTGGACTTGGAGTCAGCGAGACCTGAGTTCAGATCTAGTCTCAGCTCCTTATTACCTGGGTGACATCTTCCCAGAAAATTAATTCCTATTAACTAGTTAGGAACCAATTCTCTTTAAGTGCTGTTACCACCTCAGTTTCCTCTTCTGTAAAATGAGTTTTGGTCTTTTCTCATTTTTTAAACCTGAGCCACATGTCCAACATATCTTTCATCTTCCTCCCTGGCACACTGAAGTCACTGGGCATCACTCCACGTCACTGCCAAAACAACGTGCATGTTCCCAGTTCCCTCTTCTCTCTTTCTTTTGTCTCTCTCCCTCCTCACACACACACCCCTCCCCCCACCAGTACCTCATCAGCTCTCATGGGTTTAACTCTCATCTCCAAGCAGATGACTCCCGGGTCTCCACAGCCAGCCCCAGTCTGTCCCCAGAGCTTTAGCTCTGCATCACTGCCTATCTATTGGATATTTCAAACCTCATTTCTCAGAGACATCTAGAACTCACCATAACCAGAACCAAACTCATTATCTGTCCCTCTAAGCCTGCTCTCTTCCAAACACCTCCACAGCTGTCAAAGGTCTTGCCATTCTCCCAGGCTCCCAGGCTCCTCTCCCCAACTTGTCCAATTAGTTGCATCCCAGCCCTTTTCTCCACTCTCCGTGGCCGCCATCTTGGTTCAGGCAAGCATCGCCTCTTGCCTGGATTATTGCAATGGCCTCTTAATTGGCCTCCTTGCTTCATATCTTTCCTCTCTCCAGTCTGTCCTACATGCTACTGCCCAGGTGATTTTCCTCAAGCCCAGATCTGACTGCATGAATCCCCTTCTGAATAAATCCAGTGGCTTCCTATTGCCTATAGGATAAAAAATACACCCATTTTGTTTTTAAATCCCAACACAACGTGGTCCCAACCAATCTTTCCACTCTCATTGGGCACGAGTCCCCTTTACGCATTCTATGGGCCACCCGAGCTGGCCTTCTTTCTGTTCCTCATACATGACACTCATCACCCATGCCCATGCCTAGAAGGTGTGCCCTTCTTACCTCCACCTCAGAGAATCCTCCTGTTTCTTTCAGAGGCAGTTCAGGCACCAGCTTCTGCACAAAGCCTTTCCTGTCACTTTTCCCCCTCCCAAGCCATCTTGTATTTGATAACCTGGAACATATTTGTATTTATTCTGTTTATGAGAGATTTGTTATCTCTCCCCTTCAGATGTGAGCTCCCTGAGGGCAGGGACAACTTCTTCTTGTCTTTATATACCCCGGGACCAAGAAGGGTGCCTGGCACATAGTAAATGCCTAATAAATACTGGTTGATTGATATATGCCAACTTGACTGGGACCCTCTTGTCACATTCTTTATAAATTTTCTCTACCTCTTCATCCCCCTCAACAGTGAGTCCTCCCTCCCTTCTCTGCAGAGAGAAGGGTTTGGAATGGGTATGGAATACTGCTTATATTGTCAGATGGGATGGATATGTTCATTTTGGTGAATCCCTTTTTTTTCTCTTTCTTATTCTTGATTACAAGGAACGGCTCTCTGGGGAGAAGAAGGGGGGAGGAGATCTTGGGAAATGAAAGTCATGAGACAACGAAAGACAGCAACAATAAAAAAGAGAAAAAAAGAACCACCCAGATATGGGTGTGTAAATTACAATTATTTTCACAATGGTCCTTTGCTTATGCTTCTCATGACCCAGCAGCTAGGAAATGCCCGGTGATTAGAGCACTGGCTCTGGAGTCAGGAAGATTTGAGTTCAAATCGGGCTTCAGACACTTCCTAGCTGTGTGACCCTGGGCAAGTCACTTAACTTCTGGCTGCCTCAATTTCTTCAACTGTAAAATGAAGATATAATAGCATCTACCTTGCCAGGTTGTGAGGATCAAATGAGGTAGTTTTGTGTTTAAAAAAAAAAAAGGCACTTAGCCCAGTGCCTGGTACGCAGTAGGTGCTTGATAAATTCTTGCTTCCTTTCTTCCGTGGCCAGTGATACCCGATGCCACGACAGGCCCACCGAGATGCCAGTTCGGCCAGCCTCGTTCTCTCGCCTCTCCAAGGAAGGCCTGGTCCTCAGCTTCCTGCGGAGGTTTTATTCGCAGAGGATCCCAGCGGGGCCAGGGGCCAAAGAGAGGACCCCATCTTTCGGTGTCCCACAATGTCACCTAGCTGGCCGCTGACCACTGACCACAGACCTCACGCCCAAAGTGCCAGTAGTTAAATGACTGTCCGTCGTGGGACTCACTCATCACAGAGCCAGAACTGGAGGGGGCCCCAGAGGTCAGCTAGTCCAGCCTCTTGATTTTACAAAGGAGGAAACTGAGGCTCAGAGTAGTGCTACAGTGGCAGAAAGCAGGAGGGTCGGGTTTTGAACCCAGGTATGCCCTGCCTCCAAATCCAGTGCTTTGATACTGAGCCCTGCTTTCTCCCAGACTCTGGTCCCGTGCTTTGGGACCTCTGGCACCGTCACTGTGGAGCCGGAACGATGGCAGGCCACTCCCAAGGACCTCCCCACTTAGAGGGCAGATTGATGGCAGTGAGCCTCTCCCAGCTTGGGCTGGCATTTGGAAAGCAGCCACAGGGCCTGTGGCTAGGACTGCCCACCAAGCCTGTTCACTGTGGGCTCCCCAGGCAGGGGCTTTGGGAGGCAGAGTCTCTGGGGGCATAAGGAGGGGTCAGGGAGGACTTGGTGGGGGGCAGGGGCTCAGGGTCCTGAGAAGGACGAGGGGAGTCTTATCCAGGTCACCCCCGCAGGAAGTACGGCTTGGGCTGCCACGGGACCCTAGTGGCTCTCAAGCAGGGTGGAGGGCCCACGCGCTGGAGATGCGACAGAGAAGGGGGTGAGCCTGGATGCCCGAGATTCTGGGCCAGGTGTGGCAGCTTGTGCCTGTCTCTGCCAGGATAGGTCAGCCAGGCAGGCTAGTTTGGGGGCAGGGCTTCCTCGAGAATCCCCAAGTACTTGAACAAAGGGGGATGAGACACCCATGTCCCAGGTCAAGTGGCTCTGTGCCCAACAGTGAGGAGGGCCATTGGTCAGATCCCATCGGGGAGGGAAGAATCAGACTGAATGCTGGGGGCAGGGGGTTTCAGCCTCAGATCCCACCCAGGGCACCAACCACTGCCTAACTTGCTTCCTTTCAGACTTCCTACAGGGGGGGTTGGCAATGGGAGAGGGGCAAGGACACTCCCCTTCCCCCTTTCAGGCAACTGGAGATAATCCATGTAGAACACATCTCTCTGTGGCCCCCAGACCCATCACTGGTGCCAGAGGTGGGCACCCTGCTCCCTCTGTGACCCCTCTGAGGAACCTGTCCCTCTGTCATGAGCCCAGGCTCAGGCCCGGTTTGGACCAGAAGGGGGGAGGGCTGGGACACCCCAGAGATGAGGGAGGGCCAAGCATGCAGCCCCACACAGGGTTAATTAGGAGCCTCGGGCCCCAGCAGAGCAGAGCAGAACAGAACGTACCAGGCATGCAAGTTAGACCCAGGAGTCAACGGGCGGTGGCTTAGGGTCCCGGCCGTCCACCAGATTCACTGAAGCCCGGTTACTCCTGTGGGGGGGCTTTCTAGCCGGGTCTGTCTGCAGCAGGCAGGGCAGGGGTGGGGGTGGGCATTAAAAGCAAAACAGAGGAGGTTAATCAGACGCTGACGAGAGGCAGAGGGGGGCATGGGGCGTGGACGGACGGACGGACGCTGACGGATGGACGGACCGACACCACCTCGGGAGCAGAATTAGTGACAAAGAGGCAGAGGAGGGAGACACAGCGCCACCCCCCACCCTCACCTTGGGCTGGGTGTAAGGGCGGTCAGCTGTGTGGGAACAAGGGGAGGGCCACCAACATCTCGCGGACAGCTGGGAGGCCAGAGATCTGAGTTCTAATACTGACTCTCCTACTCTCACTGGGTGACCTTGGGGAAATTGCTTTCTCTCTCTCTGCTTTTTCCCATTAAGACAAAGGGGCTGGATCCCATTTCAGCACTAAGGGCCATTCCAGGACCTTAGTTCTAAATCTTATGAATCTCACTGGGCCTCAGTTTCCTCATATGTAAAATGGGAGCTCACAAGGTCATGAGACTTCATGCTAGAGAGGTCATAGGTCACCTTTTGAGGGCTAAAAAGGACTCCAGAGACACTTTTATTGTGCCAAGAAGGAAAGTGAGGTCCAGGGGCTGCAGGGGCTGGAGGCTGAGCCTCTCACCCCAGGAAGGCACCTCTCAGAGCAGAAGCAGATTGCCACACCCAGAGCGGGTGGCGAGGGTGGGTCCGGCCTCTTGGGGGAGGCCCAGCAGCTCAGCCTCTGAGAGGGCAATCCGGCCGACCCTGCTGAGAGGGGAAAAGCAGCCCAGGGACAGCCACCCTCTCTGTCTCTCTCCTCCCACCCCCTCCCCTTGAGCTGTCTCTCTCTCCCCACCTTGCTCTCTGTCTCTGTTTCTGTCTCTCTCTCTGCATCTCTCTCTGTCTCTCTCCCCACCTTTCTCTCTGTATCTCTGTTTCTATCTCTTTATGTCTCTGTCTTTCTGCCTCTCTCTCTCACACACACACAGACACACAGACCCACAGACAGACACATGCAAATGTCGGAGCTCCCCAAAGAACCAGAAGCCGGACAGGAAACATTGGAGGCAGCAGGCGGGGGTGGGGGGAGGGCAGCGGGGCTAGGAAGGTGATGGGCCTGGGGCTGCCTCTCTCCTGGGCAGCAGTCTGGGCCTGCCACACTGGGCCTAGGGCCCCGAAGGCTGCCAGGCATGGCTAGGGGAGGGGAGAGCTATCCTGATGTGTGCACGGGACAAGCCCGGCTAAACCTTGGCTCCTTCCTGGGGCCCTCTCCGCCTCATCCTTCTCCTCGACGCCCCCATAGGGCCTGGGCCCCCCCACCAATATGCCCACAATTGACCCCCACCTGGGAAGATCCACTTTGGAGCAGAGGATTCTAGGTACGAGTTTCTCTAACAGAATTGCAGGCGTTTAACCTTGGCGTTGCCCCCCTAATCTCACCCCCAAATCTGCGTCCTGTAAAGTCCCCAGCATCCTTCACCACAGCCTAGAGTCCACCTTCTGGGATCCCCCTGAGGGCGGCCGCCTCTCTCTCCCCCTGGACATTACTCAGCATCACTTCAGACTCAGGCCCTATGTCGAATGTAAGCTTCTAGAGGGGAGGTCCACATGGGCTCCAGAACCAGGCACACAGTAGGTACTCAACCTGCTTGTGAACTGCCTCTTCAGCCCTGGCCTCTCTGCCTGCTCCAGGCCCTGCCAGCTGCCTGGGGGCATCTCTGGCTGGATGCTCCCATCAAAGCCTCAAGCCCGCCACCTCATTCTTTCTCCCTCAGACCTCGACCGTCCCCGACCTCTCTTGTGCTGATAGCCCAACGATCCTCACTGAGTCACTCAGGATGGAAGCCCAAGGTCATCTGGGCTCCTCCATCCATCCGACTGGGAGCACCCCGAGGGCAGGAACTGTGCTTCTGCCTTTCTTGGTACGCCCAGCACTCTGCACGGTGCCTGGCACACAGTAGGTGCTTAATAAGTGCTTGCTGTCTGTTTCCATGATTCCATCTCTACCACTCTTGCCCTTCCATCACAGCAGCCCTCACCCTAGTTCCAGCCCTTCTCACCTCTTACCTGGACCACCGCCCTTCTCATGAGCTCAGCAGCCCCCAGCTTTAGAGGGGTCGGGGGCTGACACACTGATTTCCTTCCAGCTCACTGAAGTAGGCAGCCCCCTAACTGGCCACTGCTCTCTTCCTTCCAGATGCCCCTGGACTGATCTTCCTGATTACATCACCCCCCCCCACTCAACAACACTGCATATTTCTATTTATAAGTTGCATTCCCACTCCTCACCCTGGCATTCAAAGCCTTCTCTAATCCAGTCTTGGCCCCTACTACTCGCTCCTCCTTCCTAGCAGTCTGTGCCTCTCTTAGTGCTCAGTCTATTGGGGAACGCTGGCTTGTCTGGCTGCTCGAGGCCTGTGGGGCCCCCCTCCAGCTCTGGCTCTATGATGCCCTGGCCAAACCATCAGCTCTCAGAGTGCAGGGGTGCGCCTATCCACTGTGGGTCATAGACAAGCGCCGGGTGCACAGTCAGCCTTCAGCAAGAGCCTGCTGACTGACCGCCCCTCCTTTCACACTACGGAGGCTACTACCTGCTCTGCTGACGCAGGAGGCCGGTTCTCTAGACATCCACGCATGCATACGTGCACGCACACTCACATACGTGGCCGTCCACACTTCCCCATGGGAGCGAGCCTAAATGCCCATCCTTGCCACTGCCCCTTGGGCTGGAAAAGGGGTCAGGGCTGAATGACTAAACCTACAACTAAAAGGAAAACAGATATTTGGGGAACATCCAGGGAGGGGGATTTGTGGGCGAACTGTTTGAGCAAACAGAGCCGAGGGTTGGGGGTGAGAAATGTTCCCTTCACCCTGGCAGGAGGGTTTAACACTTAGCTCTGAGCTGACAGATTCTGAGACAGAGGGTCTCAGAGGACCACATGCCCTGTGAGCCGCTCCCTAGCCAGGCGGGATCCCAGGGAAGGGCTCCCCACAGCAGTCACTTACTTTCAAAGGCTCCTTCTCAGAGGCGTCGCCCGAGGGGTCCCCAGCTCGGTATTTCCGTTCCCGGTGGTCGATGGTGGAGTAGCCATCTAAGGAAGTCAAAAACAAAGACAGCATGTTTCTTGTGACACTTTACAACTCAAGGGCCTTCCCACAATCCAGACAGGGAGGCAGTGGGAGGGTCAGCATCCCCATTTCACAGATGAGAAAACAGGTTCCACCCAAAGACCTGCCAGAGCAGGAGACCCAGCGCTCAGCCTCTAGGCAAACACAGTCCACCCACTGTAACCAGGACTTTCCTCAGCTCGGTTCTGGTCCCCTCTCCCTCACCGCCCATGCTCTCGTCCGGCCTTCAGGTCCTGGAGAAGCAGCAGCCCCTTTCCTTGCGCCCCTGATCCCATCCCCTACCCCCGGGAACAGCCCCTCCCATCCTACTGGAATTATGGAAATATGGAATCCCCTGCTGCCTACAATGCCTGCCTTCTCTCCTACGCTAACTGAACTTTGCCGTCCCCTTAAGATCTTCCCATAGTCCTTTTTTTTAAACAGTAAATACTAGTAGAGAAAAAAAAAATCCAGATTCATTATCTCTTCGTTGTTTCCTGAGCTCAGCATTTCATCTCTTACCTCCATACCTTTGCAAAGGTTGTTCCCCACGCCTGGAATGCCCTCCCTCCTCACCTCCACCTTTCTGTCAAGGCTCCTCTCGGGGGCCATCTCCTAAAGGAAGGCTCCCCCTCCTCAATTATCTGGGTTCACTTCTCTGTGTCCATGCTGTACCTCCTTCCCACCCTCGCCACCCTTAGGAATGTAAGCCCCCTGAGGGAAAGAACTCATTTTTATTTTTGTCTCTGTATTCCCAGCACTCAGCACAGACCTTTGCATAGAGCAGAGGCTTAATAAATGCTTGTTAAATTAACGTGGACTGACCGGAGATGGACCAGGGAAGATTCATGCAGTTCCTTCCGCGTATAGAGCCCAGCCCTGGGAGAGGTACGGAGCTAACTGCCTGCCCCTGCGGCCTTCCCCGCCTTACACTCTGGGACCCCAAGTCCCAGCCCACCTCCTGCATCCCTTTTGGCTAAGAGACAACATGCCTTGGTGGACAGAGCAGCAGATGCGAATTGAGAGACCTGGGTGTGAATCCTGCCCCTGACACGTACTAGCTGTGTGACCTTGGGGAAGTCACTGCTCTCAGGGCCTCAGTTTTCTCCTCAGTAAAGTGAGGGAGTGGAGCCGCTGAGGTGCCTTTCAGCTCTGGATCTAGGGTCCTACAACCCCCACCTCCATTCCCCACCCTTTCCTGCTGCCTCAGCGCCTTTAATTCCTGAACATTTCCCTGGTTGGTGGGTACTGGACTCAAGCAGCTCAGAAACCCCAGGTTCTAAATCCTTTGACTCTAGGACCAGGGTTCTTTCCATTACACCAATTCTGAGTTTGAATCCTGATTTCAACCTTTACTCTCTACTTGGCCTTGGAAAAGCCCCTTTCTCAATCTAGGCCTCAGTTTCCCCATATGTAAAATGAGGAGGTAGGGCCAGATGCCCTTTGAGATCCTTCTCAGTTCAGAGTAGGGGGTCTGGCAGGACCCCAGAAGCCTACTTTTATGGGGACTGAGGCAGGGGAAAAGACAGATGGGCCTTTACAAAGGGATAACCTAGTGATCACAGAAATCGAGGGGCTGCGGACCCTTGGAAGGGACCACACAGACGCGTTTGCATTTCATTTCCCTCGTTAGTGGTGACAAATGGAGCCTCCCGTCTCCTCTGACAGCCCCAATCACCCTCACTAAGGGACAGGCAGACGTGTTTCTTGGGCGAGCCTGTCTCAAACTCGCCACAAGGGAGAGAATGGCATCTGTTTTCCTTTCTGTAAAGTTTTCTGCATGGCCTCCTGCCTGAGGTTTGCCCAAGCCCTGCCTCCCCTCTGTTCCGTTCTCACTAGGACCTGAGGTCTCTGGGGACAGTCGTTACGGGGTGTTCTAGTGGCTGCCTGCTCCTCCCAGGAATCCCCAGGGCCCCTGGCACTGTCCTTAGTGGGACTCTGCCCCTGGCAGCCCTCAGAAGGATCCTAACTCCCAGACCTAGGCTCTTTCCCCCAAATCATCCTGGCTCTGGGTGCCATCACCAGACACCAATATCTCAGCACACAGGAGTTCTCTGGGTCAGGGAATGAAGCCCAGGGGGGTCACTCTGAATGGGAAGGGGCAGTGAGCCCTGGTCTGGGAGGAAGGACGACTCATCCTGGACCTTGCCAGGGCTCAATTCCAATGCTAAGAAAGTGGGGATTTGTCAGACAAGGGTGACGGGGCGGTCGGCTGGCCCACACGGCCTCTGGTGTTGCTGGCTTTTACATCCTAATACCCTGTGGCACGCTTACAGACTTCTTGGTCTGCTAGTGGAGATGTTCCCCAAGTCTCTTCCATGGACCCAGTAACTCCTAAAGCCAATGTAGCTGCTTCCAGGTTCCTGAGACCCTAGCTTGGTCCCAACTGTGAACACTAAGGGTCAGACCACCTCTGGCTTCCATGAGGCATGAGGATCAGGGGAGGTGGAAATAAAAGGAAGACTGTGGTGAGGGTATGTGTCCTAAAGACCACCTGGACAGAAGGAGGAAATAGATCAAAAACCTGGCCCAGAAGCAAGATACCATAGTGGGGGAGGGGAGGGCAGCCTCAATTATCCAGACATCCGCTAGCGTTCTGCCCTAACCTGAGCAGCTAATAGGCTAAGTCTGTGACCTCACCTTCAAAAGATGGAGAGAGCAATCACAAGAACTCCTAATCTGGCCCCGCATCGAGCCAACAAGAGGTAAGGGGTAAAAAGCAGCCTCGCACCCACTCCTTCCCAGAGTGATTGTGTTACATGACGGCAAAGATGAGGAAAGCCAGGCACGGCCTAGGGGGTGCCCTGTGGTTCAGGAGAGCAGACTTCCAAGATTTTGGAGAGATGACAGATAGCACTTATCGGACTTTGGCTTCGCAGGAGATGTTGGCTCAAGGGCCAGCACGGGGAACTCTCCAGAAGGAGAGGGGAGAAGTGCCACTGAGCCACACTACCTCCACCTGCCTCCCCCAGATTTCCCCTTTGTGCGGTCTTCTCTCTGCATTTGGTTTTCTCCAGTTAGACGATGGGTGAGTGAGGAGAGTGACGCGCGTGAGCAGGGAGCTCAGGGACAGGCTCAGATGAAAAAATAAAAAAAAGATGTTTGGAAGATGGGAACACGGGAAGGTGAAATAAAAAAAGCTATTACTACCCTCCCTGCTTAGCCTGGTGCCTGGCATACAGTAGGCGCTTAATAAATGAAAGTTGGTTGACCTATAAAAGAGGGACCCTTAACCTGGGGTTTGTGAACTGCTTTTAAAGCACACTTTGATCACTGTATTTCATTATAATTGACATCCTTTGGAATTCCCTACATTTCACTTCATACATTTAAAAACATGATTCAGAGAAAGGGGTCCACAGGCTTCTCCAGACTACATGAGGGGCCAGGACACGCAGTATCAGGAGTCCTTAAGCAAGGAAACAAATCTTTGTAAAGCACCTATTACATGCTAGGCACCGTACTGAGTGCTTTACAAATAGTGCCTCATTTCATCCTCACAACACTGGGACGTAGGTGCTATCATCATCCCCATTTTATAGTTGAGAAAACTGGGGCAAACAGAGGTTAAGTGACTTGGCCAGAGTCACACAGCTAGTAATTGTCTGAGGCCAGTCAAGTCTTCCGAACTCCAGGCTCACAGCTCTAACCACTGTACCACTCAGCTACTCAGAAGGAACCGGGCTGGCAGAATGGCCAAAAGGTGGACTTTTTTTCTTTTTTTGGTGATGGCAAAGCACGAGAGGGATCAAAGAAGGCACAGGAGCGCTGCTCAGGGTGGACTAGCTGGCACATAGTAGGAGCTTATAGATGTCAGCCGACCGATGCCATCGGACGATGGCAAGAAAGCTGAACTGCTCATCTTGTGCTTGCCTTGTTTTCTCTTCCCAGGAGAGTAAATGCTGGACCCAGAAGGCCAGAAGGAACTGGTCAGTCAGGGAGTGGAGACTGCAGCTAAGGAGGAGCTGGCCAGGTCTCGCCGGCTGCTTTCAGGGAGCTCAGGTCACTGCACGTCAACATACAGACGGAGTTGTTTGTATATTGTCCCTCCTGGGCCGGGGAAGCCTTCACCTGGTTGGGGTGGCCATCGCCCTGACTCACTGACAGGTTTGAGGTCCGTCTGCTGGTTTTACCAGGGCATGGCCGCCGTGCGTGCGTGCTGCAGCTTCTGCAGCCACAGGTGAGAGCTGGGTGGCGGGTGGACACCAAAGGTGGACGAGCAGCCCTCCCTGAACACCCCATCAGTCCTACACGCAGGCTCAAAAGGGCCAACATCACAAATGCAGGCTGGTGGAAAGCAAGGCTGGCCAGCAGCTTGGCCAAATCATGGGTTTTGGTGGTAGAGTCGAGGTAACGATCTGGAATCCAGATAAGCCAGCGGCTCTCAGGAGATACTACGTCAGGTGTGGGGCCTTGGATGAGAAGAGAGCTAACAGTTCTGGTTACAGACACCCCACCCGGCTCAGATGCTTCTGGCTCCCCATTTCAGGAAAATCCTCGACAAGCCAGGACGTGCCCAGAAGAGGAGGCTGAGGATGGGGAGAGGTCTGGGAACCCGCAGCCCAAAGACCGGTGGGAGGAGCTGGCTGTCACTGCTGGGAGAAATCCTAGTGATCCCCTGGGTTCAACCGCACCTTTTACAGCTGGGGAAACTGAGGCCCAGAGAGGTTACGTTTGCCCCGGAGGCGATGTGAAGTCAGTTACTTTATCTTGGTTTAAAAAAATAACAGTTTTTTGTTCAGCCTGAGGAAGAGAAGAGGTTGGGAGGACAGACATTAGCTGTCCTGAAGTATCTGAAGGCCTGTCATGGGGTAAAGGGCTCGGCCCCAGGGCAAGACCCACAAGCAGTGGGGGACTGGGATGTGAAGAAACCTCTCTTGACCTTTGGAGCCATCTGGAAGGGGCCTGGGCTTCTGGAGGTGCTGGGGGTCCCTTCCTCGGAGGCCTTGAAGCAGAGGGAGAAAGCTGGCCTTCCTGGAGAGGGGAGCGGTCACGAGGGCCAGTGAGGTCCTGCGCAATGCTGCAGCTGTGTGACTCTGGCTAGCCATTCATCGATTCCAGTGACTGACACAGCTGGCCTGGACTTTGGGGGTGGATGGGGAGAGTTAGAGCTGCCAGCCACCAGGCCCTGAGCCTTCAGACTAGTGTTTCCTCCTAATGTGCCCAGGGCAGGTCCTCAGGTACTTGGAGATCCACATGGGGGACCCTTGAGGCAGATGGAGAGCTTGGGGTGCCATGCTCTCTGTCCTGCCTCTCCCGGGGATACGCTTCTCCCCCTGGTGGGTGGAAGGTTATGGTCCAGGGGAAGGGCAGAGAGAGCTGCCTTTGGTTTGGGGAAACTTAGAATCCCCAAGGGTATTTCTTCAGTATGGCGGGTAGATAGACAGCCGTCTGTCCTGCTGCGGGGACCATCTTCTGCCTGGCCACTGTCGGAGAGCCTTCCGTCTTGAGGGGCAGGCATGTCGGCTACCATGGGACAATTGGCCTTCTCCCTGGCTCTGGCGGCACAGCGTTCTCCCTGCGTGTGGTGGGATGGCCTCTGCCTTGCTGAGTCACAGACTTGGTGGCAAACATGAGACAATCTTCTCCCCACCTGCTGTGGGACAGTGGTTCTCCTCCATCGTGGGGGGCTTGTTTCCAGAAAGCAGGCGGCCACCTCCTTTTCAGTCTGGGGGAAGAGCCTCCAGGAGGCTTTGTCATCACGTACCTGGTGTGGCCAGTTGTGGCCGCCCTGGCAGACAGTGGGCACTGCCCAGGAAGGCCTCCCAGGCCCACAAGATCAAGTCTCCAGAAGAGCATGATTAAGTACAAGAAGAGCCTTCATTTAAAGACGCGCTTATGGGTAACTGGGGGAACTCTCCTGACGACATCATGGAGCCGGCTAACCAGGTCTGCCATGAACTGCTTCCTGGAACTCTGACCTGAGAGCATCCTTAACTATGGGCCTGGCCAGGGAGGGCATTTCGGATGTCCTCGGTTTCGAGGGCCTTCAGCCAGCTCTGGTGGGGTAGAACGAAGGCTGGCCTTAGGATCAAAGGAGCCAGTAGGAGCCCCAATTCTGTCATTAACTTTGGGAGTCTAGGTGAGGTGTGAGCCTCTCTGAACCTCAGTATCCTCATCGGGAGGAGAGGGATGGTAATGTTTCTGAGAAGTTTCTCTACCAACATCACAGGGAATCGGTGAGCCATGCCCTGACCGTCCTCGGAGCTGGATTTCTTTCTCCAGGAGAAGGTTATGCCTATGGACTACCAGAGGACCTCAATGTCCCCTGAGCAGGGAGGTTCTTCCCAGTCATGTCATATCCTGGCCCAGAACGGGGAGCCCTCACGAGCAGCCCCTGGGGCCATGTTACACGGGGGCTGAGGGGAGAAGAGACAGCCGCTCTCAGAGGAAGGAAGACTCTGGGTCTGGACGTCAGATCATTTCCCTTAGACACTGAGCGGCAGGCGTAAGGGAGGACAATGAAGGGAGGGCAGGGGCAGCAATTACCTGGGCCGAGTTCATCCATTGGGATCATATCGCGGCTGCCGCACCTCTCGTTATCTACAAGACAAGAAGGAATCATTCCATTTGAAGGGCGGCATCTCCTGCCTCCCCCGGGGGTGGGGACCGAGTGAGAATGGTCTCTGAGGTCCAGCTGGTTGGACTCCCAGGAGTGGAGGTGGGAGGAGAGAGAGGAGAGGAGAGACGAGAGAGGAGAGAGGGTAGAGAAAGGCCTCTGGCCTGAGCAGGAAGAGAATGAAGAAGGAGGAAGCTGGTGTGGACCCTCCTCCCATCAGCCCCATTGACCCCTGGTCCTCAGCTGGAAGAGGAGGTCAGTCCCATCTGGAAAGCTGACAAAGGACAGATGTGGTCGGGGATGAACGGAGCCCCAGAGGCGGCTATGCCCTGACCACCCCAGGTACCCCAGCCTGTCTCAGGATGAAACCTGCTGGATTCTCCCTAATCTGCTAGGATAACATCGAGTCACGGCAAAGGGACCAGTCTGGAGGCTGGCCCGGGTGGGTACGATGGCTGCTGGGGGGGTAGGAGGCAAGATGAACCCAGAGCCCCTGGGCACTTGCCGCCTTCGCTCTGAAAGGAGGAAGGGCCGCAGGGTCCAAGAACGTGGCCCTAGCGCTACTGGCACCGGTGTTGGTGGAATGACCTGGGACGAGCTCATTCTGCCTGGGCTGGGGACGGAGCTGTGACGGATAAATGCTGAAGACTAGGGAGAAAGGCACTGACCGGTACCCGCATTTAAAATGTGTCCTTTGGTTGGCTAGGATTTCCCTGCCCTCTGCAATGCTTCAACCTTGCTGTTTGCCCAAGCACAGCGTTCTTTCTTTCCTTTATACAAAAGCATCGTGTAAGGGAAGTGTGTTAGTGTCCTCTCGAGGGCCTTGTCCAGAGGAAGCCTGGCAGGTGTGACCATTAAGCCCTTATTTTAAGGTGCCAGGGTTTGCCCAGTGGCTGCTGGGTACCTACACTGTAAGTGAGACTCGGGGGGAGTAGAAGGCTCTTCTGGGCCAAGCTTATAACCCTGACCCCAGAACCCCAGGACCTTGGGCTCTGAGGCCCTCCTTCCACGGCTATGCGGGCCTCGAGACACAAGCAGACAAATGAGATGGAAGGAAAGTGTCCCCGGCCCCCAGATCGCTGCCAGAGGCCGCCCCGCTGCCCGGCACTCACCATGGGTCTTTTCCACCAAAGGCAGGGTGCTGTCGTCATAGCCAGCCTTGCCTGGAGTCCCTTTGGATCCCTTGGGAGTGCTAGACACCGCCGACTAGACAGAAAAACACCGCTCATCATCGAGGGACACAGGACCATGGCTCCAGGTCCCCAGGGAGCTCGAGGGAGGCTGGGCATCCCTAATGGCTCCTCAGCCCTCCCCTGGGCCATCTCCCCACTCTCTCCTCTTCTCACCATCTCTACACTGTTCTCCTCTCCTGAATCCCTAGCATATTGAGGGTTAGACCCAGCCATGCCTCAGCCTGGATCGCTCCCATCATTTGTCACCTTCTCTCCTGATGAATGAAGGTGGAGATCACCAGTGGTCCTGACTGGGTCCTCTACAAATCTATGGTACACAACCTCAGCTGGGCTCTCGCTGCCGCTCGGCAATCCTACTCATCTCTCGCATCAGCTCTCCACGGCAGCTCCTCCAAACCTTCTCACCCCTCCTCAAGCCTCCCATGGCTCCCTCTCCCCACCTCTCATGAGGCTGAGAACCCAGAGAACCTCCCATTTTACAGATAAAATTGAGGCCATTTGCCATGAGCTCCCTCTTTTCCCCTCCTCCTCATCTCCCACCACCAAGGTGCTTTCTGCCACTTCCTCCTTCCTCACCTTGGTCTCACAGGATAACGTGGCCTTGCTGCTGACCAAGGCTGGCCCTTCTACTTGTCAAAGAGGCCACATTCCATCACCTCTGCAGCACCTCGTGAATACGTCCCCTTCTCTCCTCCAACACTGCCCCCACCCTGGTGCAGACCCTCATCACTTCTCACCTTAATCACCGCAATAGCTGCTGGGGGGGGGGATCTGCCTGTCTCAGGCCAATATATCCTCCCCTCAGCCACCAAAGTTATCTTCTACAGCACAGGTTTGACCACACCATCCCCTTACTCAATAATCCCTATTGCTTCCAGAATCAAATTGAAAATCCTCTTTGGTTTTTACACCCTTCAGAGCCTGGCCTCTTCCTCTCCTTCTGGTCTTCTCCTTCTTGTCCCCATCAGGCATCCTAAGGGCCAGCTATTCTGGACTTCTTGATATTCCTTACACAAGATAGCCCATCTGCCTCTTTGCCTTTGCATTGGCTGTGCCCCATGCCTGGAATGCTCTCCGTCTCCTCATCTGCCTCTTGGCTTCCTTCACATGCTACCTTCTGCAGGCCTTGCCTGGTCCCTCCACTGCTAGAGATCACCTTCCTCTACTCTGTTGTTTAACTGTTGTCTCCCCTCATTAGCACGTGAGCTCCCTGAGGGCAAAGATCCGATTTTTGTCTTTGCATCCTTAGCACTTAGCACTGTGCCAGGCACTTGGAATGTTTGTTGACTGCCTGCCTGCCTGGGGACCTTACAGCTGTCTTCCTCCTCTCCACGGTCAGCCTCCCACCCACTCTGGGCCTGGGCCCTTGCAGTCGCTTCCACTGACCGCCAGCTCAAGGGCTTCAGTCCCTTTGCCCCATTCCCTGGCAGGCCTGGGACTCCAGGTAATGACCACAGCAGTGTCTCTGCTGAATCCTGGGCTGGCAGGAACCTTCGCTGTAGTGGGAGCTCACATTTATATAAAGCTCAGAGTTTTGCCAAATGCCTAGCATTAGAGGCTTACAGGCTTTGAGCTGACAGGGATCTACTCCAAACCCTCAATTGAACAGATGAAGAAACTGAGGCCAGAGAGGTTAAGACACTTATTCATGGTCACACAGCAAATTAGTGGTACTTGATATTCATAAGCTCCTATGATCCTCATCATAGCCCCTTAAAGAAGGTGTAATGCCCATTGTGTTATCTGTATTTTACAGCTGGGGAAACTGAGGCTCAGGAAGGGACCTGGCCATGTTTACAGACTCCATGTATGTCAGAGATAGGCCTGAAGCCTAGGTCTCCCTTCTTCAGGAGGCTCTTCCTGGTCCCCCTGGCTGCTGGCATCTTCCTCTCCCAGGCTGGCTTACATGTTGTATGGACCTGCAGGGGCCTCTTGGGTTAGTAAGCTCCAGAGGGCAGGAACTGCTCTCTGCGTCCCAAGGGCTAGGCACAGTGCCAGGAACATGGCAAATGCTTCATAAAGGCCCACAGACTGAGCGAAAAATAACTAGAATTATTAAAGAATGAATAGGATTAACTATTTAATTAGCCACTGTTAATATTTTCATGCCAACTCAGTGGGACGGCTCCCTTTTCATATAGAATTTTTTTTTGACAAACAGGGTTTGAAACCCAGTGAAACCCTTATTTGGAAGCTTTTTTAAATAGGCCAGAAAAGTCTGTTTCTACATTTCTAAAGTGTGTAGGTTTGGGAGTTCTTACAAGGGACACGCTTAATATCGTTTTGGGGAACAGAACCTTAGTTTGGAAATGTCTCCCTAAAATGGTGGCTTCAGACTCTCATTAGCTGTCATCTCCAGACTCAATACACACTTTCCTTCAATATATCCTTCTGTTGTTTAATTGGGTGTGGGGGGGGGTCTTCTCTCTCCAAGTGGACTGGGAGCTCCCTGAGGACAGGGGCAAGCTCTATTCCCCCAGCAGCAGAGTTGAGCCAAGCCCCAGGCTGGGCATTTAGAAAGCCCTGCTCCATAAACATAGCTGGATGTGAACTGGCTTGGGGTGGCAGGCAGGCAGGCTCCATCAGGTAGGATGAGGAGGGAGATCTGAGAAAGGGCATTACTGGGGGGGGGGTCTAAGGTAACAAAGGAGGAAGGTGCTAACGAGACCTCTCTTCCCCCACCCCTCCTCTGCAGCTACCTCCTTCTCAGAACATGACCTCTGATAAAGGGATAAGGTCCAGCCTTGGCTTGGTGCTCAGGTGGGTGTTTGAACAGTGCCAAGCCAAGGTGAAGACGAAATGGCGTTTCATGTTTTGATGTCTCAACCTCCTGAGAGTATATAATAGCAGTTAAGGGTTATTGTTTTATGGTTTAATTCTTTGTCAATGGAGGCTTTTATGTTTTTTTGTGCTATAAGCACTCTTTTGTGTGGAGAAGATAAATAGCTGTCCCATACTTGACCTACACAGTACATTATCTTTCTAATCAAGCACCACAGACAGGGGATAAACTTTAGCTTTTGCTAAGTGATTTTCCCCCAGAGCTCTGAAATGGGAGCTGGGGTAGTGGAAAAAGCACTGAATCCGGAGTCAGGAGAACCCTGGGTTCGAATTCTGACTCTGACACTCTCTGTGGAATTTTGGAACGGTTATCATTCTAAGAACGAGAACTCAGATTCCCATACACTAGGAGACGGACAAACTGTTTTCCTGACAACAACCCCGGGGGTGGGGAGAATACTGTTATCCCGATTTTGCAGATAAATAAACTGAGGCTCAGGGAGAGGAAGACAAAGACAAAAAGACCCCTCCCTTTAAAGGCCAGTCTATCCTAGGATTAAACCCAGTCGATGATTGGTTCTGATGTGGGCCACCCCTTTCTGCCCCGGAGGCCCCCCACCTGCCAGGCCTGACCTGGAAATGAGATTTATTCCAGCCGTCCTTCTGCAGGGCCCCCCGGAGCTCCTTGTAACTCCAGACCATCTGGAGGACGTGGGATGCCGCCTTCATCTCTCGCATGGACTGGCTGGGTTGAGAGACAGACAGACAGACAGACAGACGGACGCTCACATAGGTGGGTCTGAGCCTCACCTCCAGAAGGGCTCACAGGGAACTGCCTGGGCGCAGGGGGGAGGGAGGGACCAGCAGACCCGAGCATCTTCAAAGTGCTGGGGACTGGCCTCTCCCAGGCCTCGGGGCAGATCCTGCTTGATGCTGCTGCCCCATCACAGACAGATGCCCAGTTCCAGTTGGTGAGGACTGAGTTCGAATCCTGGCTCTGGCCCTTACTAGCTGTGGGACCTTGGGCAAGTCACTTGAGTTCTCTGAATGATTATTCTGATAATGGAGAGTGCTAAGAATGTGGCAAACCGCCTTCCTCGTGGCACCCCCCGCCCCGACCCCGTCAGATGGGAGGGCCAAGATAAAGGCCGTTCTCCCAGTTTTGCAGATAAAGAAACTGAGGTGCAAACAGAGGGAAGCAACTTGACCAGGCCCATATGTAGCCTCTGCTTGAAGACCTCTAGTGATGGGCAGCTCACCCCCTCTCAAGGCAGCCCATTTTACTTGGGGGCTTCTCCTGAGTTATTTTTCCCATCATTTCTGAACTGGAGGTGAGCAGATGTGCTCAGGAAGGGGTTGGTTTCTACCACCTGGGTCTGGACAGGCGTGCCCTTGTGAATGGGGAACCTACGGACATTGGCCCCGCCATCCCCCTCCCTCTCTGGAATCCCACACCTCCCGTCTCTGTTGCCTCGATAGGTCCTTAGAGACCATCGTGTCCAATCAATCCCCTCACTCTAGAGATGAGGAAACCGAGGACCAGAGAGAGGATGGGGCTTGCCGGCACCCACCTCGACTTGCTGATGCCCACCAGCTTCTGAATGCCCTGGGTCTGCACCAGGGAGCGGGCATTCTCGGCGCTGTCTGTGATGATCTCATGGATGGTGTTGAGGACGGCGACCACGGTGTCCTCCTCGAGGTTCTTGGCTGTTCGCTGCTGCCGGCTTGGCAGATTGCGGACCAGCTCGGCCATGGCGTAGCTCCCTGCGGGGGGGGGGGTAGCCGGCAGCATTAATTATTAATTAATTAATCAGGCGTCCCCTGTAATATGGGTCCACACACACAGAAGCCCACGTGGGGACCCACACCACCAGGCCAGGCCTCAGGGGCCCTGTGAGAGGACCCACGCACACACGGTCCATAAATGTGCATCTCATACAAGGGCCTGCCCGGGTGAGATCACCTGTGTGCCCACATAGGACACACCCGTGGTCACCCACACCGGTCTGCCTGGAGGGCCCACACACTCACACGTGGCAAGGGGAGGGTGTCGATACACACAGTCAATCCCATGTGGCCCCCAAAACACAAGGCTGTGCCCATGCTGAGCCATGCCCACAGGGCTGCCCTGGGGC